TGACCACCAAACTTATCAGTGCAAGCTGCACTGCCCCAAGTTGATGGCCAGGTCCAACTTGGGCTCCATTAGTTTCCTGGAGTTCTAGTGGCATTATTTACTATTTATTATTGGTTCTTCTGCACCTGGTTAGCTGATGGTTGAAACTAATAACCTTATCTACTTTGTTAACTCAGTAAGGTACAGGCATTTCACTTAAAGTAACCCAATGCTTCACAGGCAAAGCAAACATTTTGCTCCTACCATCCATGACATTATCCACAGGGAAATATCATTTTTATAGACTGTGGCAAGTAAACCACTGGAGGACTAGGATAGCCTTATCCATCCACTGATACCAGTGTTTGATCACAGCACTGGAATGTATGGGTAATTGCTTAAACTTTGGCTGGACTTGAGCTTGGCATGATGCGGGTCTCGGTAGGATAGTTTCAGGTACAGTCACTGCAGCCTCTTTCTCACATGCCCAGGTGGTGCCTCAGCATTCCACTAGGAAGCCCTTCCACAAACTTACCAATTGGGATATCCTCATTATTTACTGAAATCATTGTAGGACAAGTCTTACTGTGCAGATCAGCCACAAAGATGAACAAGCTCTTCATAGTACCCCAAGTCTTGAACTCAAGCTAATGAATTGCTCAATTTTACATAGGTGTTTAACCTTCAGTGCATCTCAGTAAGAACTTTCTCACAGTTCTAAAACTGTTTCTCACTCAAGTACTCTCTTGCAGTATATGAAGGTAGTCATTGCCATCCTAGGTTCTGGCATTGGCATGCTTATGATGGACCTACAGCAGAGCTCATCAGTCAGTTTTTCCTGTGTAACAGGTGAAGTAATGTTCCACATGAGAGTTATCCAATGTTGGCATGGTCAGACACAGGAATAGTGGGCTGCATAAGTGTATGTGAGAGAATAAGTCACAGTACTTCCAAGTAAACCAGTGGTATTCAGCAATTATAGAGCCCATGGATTACATAAGCTGTTTTCTGCCCATGGAGCAAGCAGCATCAGCTTAGGCAATTATTTGTCCAAGGAGGGATGAAGTCCTGGTGTTGTCCTGCTGTTATGGATGATTGGTTATCCAGCTTCATGTGGAATGATCATGAACACAATGAGCAAAGTGGAATTAACCAAGATGTGGTAGTGCTAGGATTGTGTCTGTCATGCTACACCTATAAGCAAGTGCATTGTTACCAAAACAACTAAGATTGATAGTTGAGGATCATCCATATAATTCAGCCTCAATGCAGCAGCAACAACTCAGTGACTTGTTGATTGAATATGCTAATATATTTGTGGGACCAGATGACTGATTGGGTCAAACAGTGGTTACAAAGCATCACATAGATACAGGTGATGCATGTCAGATTAAACAACCACTTCATATACTTTTGTGGAGTTCTAGAGATGTAACCAATTCTGACCTACAGTGAATGTTATAGTTTGGGATAATACAACCTTAAGAGATTGCTCAATCATTTCCAGTTGTCATTGTCAGAAAGAAGGAAGGTACATCTATGTTCAGCATTGGTTTTAGATAGGTGATTTCTGTAAGTCACATTGATGCCTTTCCATTACCATGAACAGATGAGTGTCTGGACATAGAATGGATCCCAATGATTTGGTATGTTAAACCTGGCATACAGATACTGGTAAGTCTAGTAAACAAAAGAAATGGCTTTTGTGAGTTTTGTATCATGCCACTTGACCTCTGTAATGTGATTGCTACTTTTGAGAAGCAAATGGAGCTTTCACTGAAGGAGCTGCAGTAAGAGAAGTGCTTAATCTATGTTAACGACATTTTGATATATGGTTGCATATTCAAGTCTGCAGGTAAGGACTTGCAAATAGTATTGCAGTGAATTTAAAAGCAGGCTTGAAACTGAAACTAGGAAAATGTGCATTCATGCATATGGAAGTGTAATTTTTTGGTCATATAATGGGTAAATATTGAATCCCCATTGATTTTGCTAAGATAGTAGCGATTATAGATGCTCATATTAAACATAAAGATTTTTATGTGATACCTGATGTGTTCCAAAGAGTTGGTACCATTGTGACTACTGGCAAGATAGGCTTTTTAAATATCTATTGTTTGTCAAATACCATAAGGTAACAGTTTGACTGTTGAATGTGATTCACATCCATGGATTGCTAAACATAACATGAAAACACTGCAGAAGTATAGGGATGAATATGAGAAGATATTTCCCAATGTATTCAAACACGTTAATATTAAGTTTTTCAGATTAATCTTTTATTTTTTTGGTGAAGTTGGGTTTCAAATATTATTTTAAAAAC